CAGCTACCCGTGGAGTTATCACGACAGCCAAATGGTCAGATTTTACTAAGCCATCAAAGACTCTAGGGTGATTCCATAAGTGTGGACAATTAGTTAGGAAAATGTCAAGTATTTTCTGACCTCTTGTAGGTTTTCTCACCATTTGTTCCATATTATGTTGACTTATAATATCCTTAACCTTCAGTTGATTAACATCTCCTCCAATTATAATTCTGGCATTTGATTCCCACTGAAGAATTTGCTCTATACTCTCTGATAAATGATTTAGTAATTCGCTTTCCTGATATGTGGGGTCCGGAGGGTGATACACAGAGGCGACATAGTATTTGCTATTTGCTGTCTCAATTCCACACCAGATGCATTCCAAATTATTTTGAAAGTTTAGAGATTTACATTTCCAATCTTCCCGACAAATTATAGCAACACCTCCTCCATTTCGACCATCGCGGCGATCTTTTCTTACAATAAGATAGTTATTGGGACATACTAAATTTGATAATATCTTACTGTTCAACCATGTCTCGCACACGAAGCAGATGTCAATTTCCCATGTAGAGAGCTCAACATCCAACGCAGAAACTGCCTGAGGTTTGGCAAGAGAACGTGCATTTATAACCATGCATTTAGGTATGATCTTTTGCGTAGGAGGACCATTTCTGGTGGGCTTGATAGCAATTAAATTTGCATGTGTATTCCTAATCTTGTTGGGATTATAAATTCGCGTGGGGGTATTTTGATCATAGTTTGTTTTACTAAAGCGTGATGTTATTCTAACCGGTATCTTCAAATTAAGATTGTAGGATGTCTCTTCATTTAGTAAACGGGGGGTCTTGTCCATAATGACATAAGAGGTGGGGGGCTTGGTAGGGTCGGAGGTGGGGGTGTATGCAGATACGGAAACGGCTGTAGGGGGGGATAAAACATTGGGAGTCGAAATGGGGGAAAATAACTTAGGTCGAAGGGAAAAGGGAATTGGTTACTGCCTGATTGTGGTATATTATCACGCTTTTGTTGAAACTTCGATCCACTTGTTACAGGTAGGACTTTCTTATGCAGAAAGTCGCATCTGTCTCCCTTTAAGCAGTGACCTCTCCTTTTCAGGAACGGGCAAGGCACTAACGCTTTTTCCTTTTTGCCTGTTGATGTAATTTCAGCATTTGAGATTTTAATTGTATTCGTCGCAGGGTTACTATCATTGTTCTCTAATGATCTTACATTATTTCTATTCGGATTAGCTGAGGCTTTAACTGCATATGGAATATCAATGTTAATTGAGCTTGAAATGCTTGTGTTTAACGTATTCAATTGTGCATTGTTTGTGGGTGTCGTTACACACGGGACGATGGGTTGGGATTTATTTACTGAGGTATTGTTAGGGATATCACCGTTACTACTGGGGGTATTTAAAATAGTAGATTTGTCCTTAGGGAACACTTTCTCTTCAAGTTCAGCCAGGCGTGTTCTTAAATGCAAATTGTCACTGGCCAATTTACATAGCTCTTGTTTACTGTCTGCAATGATTTGGGTCTGTTCCGAAAGTTTAGCCTTTAAGGCTGTCACTATGGACTCTATATTTACCTTAAACGTACAGAATCGTTCCTCCATAGATAAGCATTCTGCTGCACGCGACCTGAAAGGGGTAGAACTGTCGATTGTTTGGGCAAAGGACACATTGACGTTGCCATTTCGGGGCAACATACCTTGATAAGATCGATCAACAATTTCCTGTAGCTCTTCAAGAGTTGAAATGTCCGTAGTATGTGTTACCGCCCCGCATTCGGATTCAGCACTATCACGGTCTATGATTTTTCTACCAGCTTCGGACACGATTTCGCCATTATGCAACAATTTGTCTTTATTCGAAGAGCCAAGTTTAAAACTTATACTATTCGTCGGCATGTCTTCATTCATAATATTAGCAAATAGTTCTTTTAAATTGTCTCCTACACTGCCTTTGAAAGTCAGCATGCCCAGTTCATAGTTCCATGTGATAGTTAGGTCAGAATTGGAGCTCACAAATTTCTTATATTTGCCACCGGGTGATACCCATTTGCCAGCCTGACCAATGGCATTTTTCGTAAATATTTTCAACATGTCAAAAGTATCTATCCATTTAATTCGATTGCCAACATAAGTAAAGCTATTCGCTTCTTTGTAGCGAAGTATTTCGGTCAAGTCCCAGTTATAAAGATTGTTTTGAAGGCAACTGACAGAGCTAGTCAGAACGCGACCGTCCGCCATCTTGGTTTTTCCAAAGTTGATCGTGTTTATGACGTCGAATGTCGACGCCATAAACACCAAAGTTGATCGTGTTTATGACGTCGAATATCGATGTCATAAACAGCAAAGTTGATCGTGTTTATGACGTCGAATATCGACGTCATAAACACCAAAGTTGATCGTGTTTATGACGTCGAATAACGACGTCATAAACACCAAAGTTGATCGTGTTTATGACGTCGAATAGCAAAGTTGATCGTGTTTATGACGTCGAATATCGACGTCATAAACACCAAATTTGATCGCGTTTATGACGTCGAATATCGACGTCATAAAAACCAAAACCAAAATCGTGTTTATGACGTCGAATAGCAAAGTTGATCGTGTTTATGACGTCGAATATCGACGTCATAAACACCAAAGTTGATCGTGTTTATGACGTCGAATATCGACGTCATAAACACCAAATTTGATCGCGTTTATGACGTCGAATATCGACGTCATAAACACCAAAGTTGATCGTGTTTATGACGTCGAATATCGACGTCATAAACACCAAATTTGATCGTGTTTATGACGTCGAATATCGACGTCATAAACACCAAAGTTGATCGTGTTTATGACGTCGAATATCGACGTCATAAACACCAAAGTTGATCGTGTTTATGACGTCGAATATCGACGTCATAAACACCAAAATTGATCGTGTTTATGACGTCGAATATCGACGTCATAAACACCAAAGTTGATCGTGTTTATGACGTCGAATATCGACGTCATAAACATCTAAGTTTATCGTGTTTATGACGTCGAATATCGACGTCATAAACACCAAAGTTGATCGTGTTTATGACGTCGAATATCGACGTCATAAACACCAAAGTTGTTCGTGTTTATGACGTCGAATATCGACGTCATAAACACCAAAGTTGTTCGTGTTTATGACGTCGAATATCGACGTCATAAACACCAAAGTTGACCGCGTTTATGACGTCGAATATCGACGTCATAAACACCAAAGTTGATCGTGTTTATGACGTCGAATATCGACGTCATAAACACCAAAGTTGATCGTGTTTATGACGTCGAATATCGACGTCATAAACACCAAAGTTGACCGTGTTTATGACGTCGAATATCGACGTCATAAACACCAAAGTTGATCGTGTTTATGACGTCGAATATCGTGTTTATGACGTCATAAACACCAAAGTTGACCGTGTTTATGACGTCGAATATCGACGTCATAAACACCAAAGTTGATCGTGTTTATGACGTCGAATATCGACGTCATAAACACCAAAGTTGATCGTGTTTACGACGTCGAATATCGACGTCATAAACACCAAAGTTGATCGTGTTTATGACGTCGAATATCGACGTCATAAACACCAAAGTTGATCGTGTTTATGACGTCGAATATCGACGCCATAAACACCAAAGTTGATCGTGTTTATGACGTCTTATATCGACGTCATAAACACCAAATTTGATCGTGTTTATGACGTGGATATTTGACGTCATAAACACCAAAGTTGATCGTGTTTATGACGTCGAATATCGACGTCATAAACACCAAAGTTGATCGTGTTTATGACGTCGAATATCGACGCCATAAACACCAAATTTGATCGCGTTGATGACGTCGAATATCGACGCCATAAACAGCAAAGTTGATCGTGTTTATGACGTCGAATATCGACGTCATAAACACCAAATTTGATCGTGGTTATGACGTCGATATTCGACGTCATAAACACCAAAGTTGATCGTGTTTATGACGTCGAATAACGACGCCATAAACAGCAAAGTTGTTCGTGTTTATGACGTCGAATATCGACGTCATGAACACCAAATTTGATCGTGTTTATGACGTCGAATATCCGACGCCATAAACACCAAAGTTGATCGTATTTATGACGTCGAATATCGACGTCATAAACACCAAAGTTGATCGCGTTGATGACGTCGAATATCGACGTCATAAACACCAAATTTGATCGTGTTCATGACGTCGAATATCGACGTCATAAACAGCAAAGTTGATCGTGTTTATGACGTCGAATATCGACGTCATAAACAGCAAAGTTGACCGTGTTCATGACGTCGAATATCGACGTCATAAATAGCAAAGTTGATAGTGTTTATGACGTCGAATATCGACGTCGTAAACATAATCCTGACACTGTATATTGTTTTAACATTTTAGATATTGTCAATATGTGATGGAACATTTAGATGTGCTACCTATAAATGAAAATGACAGAATCCGTAGAGCTTCTTGTTTACTCTACTTTTCTTATCTTCTACAATGTTATCAACTTACCTACAAATCAATAAGAGCAAAAGGTAAGTAAATTCCTGTTCCTGTTCTTAGTATCAGAGAGGTGAGAAGTCGCACGAAGAAAGATGCCAGATCCTGGGGTGGACAACACTTTCCTTACGGAGGGATTATTTATCATTACTTGAATTCTACAAAATTGTCTTTGGGCTATGCCAGCTAAACTTCTCGGACTTTTTCGAATGGTCTAGAGTAAAGTCAACTAGAGCGAATCACGCGTATAAACTATGTGTTAAGGCAAGTAGATTGAACTGTTACAAATACTCCTTTTTTGTAAGGACTATCGGCTTGTGGAACGCTTTGCCAAAATACGTTCTAGAGGCTAATAACTTTTCAGCGTTCAAAAAAGCCCTGAAGGACTATTTAGAGATCTAATTTATTTATATATTTGTAATTGTAATTTTAATTAGTAATTTTTAACAATTATTTTATTTAAGGAAGTTTAATATAGGGATAACCTCAAACTTTTTCCTTTTCCTCTGTCACTGTAATTTCATGCTTCAGTTTCATTGTGAATAAACCTTTATTGTATTGTATTGTAATATTCTGTACAATGATACTGAATGTAGACTTACTAATTTTAAATCTGTTAGACATAGGGAATTCCCAATTGTAAACTGGCGGATCAGGCAACCGAATTTTTTTTGCTTGATTTGACTTTCTTAAGATGGTTATTAAGTTTCAATTTCCATGCGTGTCGACAAATTTTGATGACGTCATCCCTTGTGCACTAAAAAAACTACCAAAAGTGCAAATAACTTAATTTAACAAGTTTTGATATCATATATCTTATTCTTGGTTTTGTTTCAATAATTTGTGGGAGCCTCTAATTTTGTAGACTGAATTACCATTGGTAAATCTTTCTCTTTGCTTTCGTGAACATTTCAACCTTGGTATAAGTAACTATTATCAGAATACAGTGACAGACTTGAGACTAATTTGGATGTGGGTGTTGTATACATGCACGTACTCAGGAAAAATGGTGTAGAACAAATTGTTGACTATAGCTTAACATAGAGAGTTGGGTCTAGAGACCTATAGTTATTGTAAGATTTATTATTTTTTCTTTCAGATCCATTACCAGATTTACCAACCAGGATTAAAATTAAAATATTTTCTTTATTTTCGTTACAACAAAAGAACACAAGGTTGAGAATTTTTTATAAATTCCATTTACTATTTTGCGAAATGCTCATGTATTGATATCTTGTTATTTATGTTTAGATGTATTCCAAAGCGACTAAAAGATAAACTCGTGTGTTATATGGTCGTTCTTGCGTTAATTATCGATGGTTATACCATAGACTGTATGCTGCTATTTAAAGATTTGAAAATGGCGTTGCAACGGTAATTGTTATTTAATTTCAACTAAGATGTTAGTGACGTGAAGAGATATAAGGAAGGAGAGTGAAGGGTTTTGGTAAAACCAATTCCTTTCTTGATAGAACCTTCTAACGGCGTATGTTTGTGTATCAGTACAGTGCCTTTTTAAAGGAATTTTCACTGAGGGGAGGGTGGGGGGGGGGAGGAGTTTAGGGAAAATGCGGCTATTATGGCTTGCCCAAAGGCGTAAAATATATTGAGTATATTTATATAGCTGTGACTAATTAACTTTTATTATATTAGTGTAATTCAGTCAACTATCACTTTAAATCTCAGAAAATTTGGGGTCACAGGAACGCTTTTTTCTGCTCTCTGGGCAGACCAATGATTGAAGCTATTTTTCCAGGCTGTTAGTGGAAGGCAATTGCCCACCTAGTTCTATAGTTGTTAGAAAAGGCCATCATGTATCGGTGGCACAGTGATTAGTGCCTTTCACTAAATTGAAATCTGCAGTTATCTGATTATAATTTTGCCTTAGTCCCATCGAAGCTAGGAAAACTCTCCCAGTTTGACTCAATTTGTGACTTTATCTATCACTGCAGGCTTTCCCCTTCGGGTTTCCTTCTCAAGGAACAGGCATGCAGTTAAATTTAGGGAGGCCCATACTGGACCTCCGAGGAGAGCGATTAAGTACTGATATAGCTATGAGCTACATGTCCAGTCTAGATACTGTATAGTCAGATTAATTCTCCATATAAAGATGTTCGATACGTTTGCATACAGAGCATGAAAATATAAGTGAGTGGAATTTCCATGTTTCAAGCGAATACCACCTTTCGATAATCACGAATACTTCCTTGGTCTGGGAGCCTCTCGCTTATGAATCCAGACTGAAGGCAATTGGCCCACGATTCATTAGAGGGGGTGGGGTTGCAGGTTTTCGACGCCCAATTTTCCAAAAACTGGCGGGTAAAGCGAAGTTTCTGTTCATTAAAACGTAGTTTGAGGGTAAATTGATGAATACTGTAACTACAATACACTGTATGTGACCAGGGGTTGAAGTGACCGGCCGCCACCAAAGTTTTCACGTGGCGACCAGATATTTGCCAATGGTAGCCTTCGTGGTACCCTAGGCTCAGCGGGTTTCTGGTGTCAGGCGAGTTTTAGGAGGCGACGAGGCAGAGAAAACCTCTGGGCGCGACCTATTGAATTTCCTAGACTGGCTAGACATCGATTGATTTAGCGAGATCAGTCAATCAACGCATCGCGCGCAGTGGGTTTCCAAGTTTGGCCAGCACCGCCTGAGTGCAGGCTACAGCTTCAGCGAAACAGGAAACCCCCTTTTCCAGGCTACCCTCATGGCGACTGAGAAAAATATTGAAAATGATAAAGTAATTAAAGCCTTCAAAAATATCTCAAGTATTTTATCCTGCTTTTGCATATAATTTTCCAATACTTGGGCGACTAAAATTGTATATTTAAATTTCAATCCTTGACTCTGACATACATGCACCTAAAAGCAACTAATGCTGTTAATTTCTTCTTCACAGATTTTGTAATTTTGCAAAGTCAGTGGGATGTACTATTGAATCGAATCAAGGAATAAGAAAGCGAAAATTGGACGAAGATAGTCCAGCAGGATCTAAACGTGCCACACTTCAAGTGCCATTACCTAAAGACTTTCCTAACCATATTGTACTTGCAGTGGGGAGAAAGAAATGATGAATAATTATGAGCTGTTATGAAAGAAGGGATACATGTGTGCTGTACTTCAAGTACCATTACCTAAAGACTTTCCTAACCATATTGTACTTGCAGTGGGGAGAAAGAAATGATGAATAATTATGAGTTGTTATAAAAGAAGGGATACATGTGTGCTGTACTTCAAGTGCCATTACCTAAAGACTTTCCTAACCATATTGTACTTGCAGTGGGGAGAAAGAAATGATGAATAATTATGAGCTGTTATGAAAGAAGGGATACATGTGTGCTGTACTTCAAGTACCATTACCTAAAGACTTTCCTAACCATATTGTACTTGCAGTGGGGAGAAAGAAATGATGAATAATTATGAACTGTTATGAAAGAAGGGATACATGTGTGCTGTACTTCAAGTACCATAATTTATAATGACTTTCCTAACCATATTGTACTTGCAGTGGGGAGAAAGAAATGATGTATAATTATGAGTTGTTATAAAAGAAGGGATACATGTGTGCTGTACTTCAAGTGCCATTACCTAAAGACTTTCCTAACCATATTGTACTTGCAGTGGGGAGAAAGAAATGATGAATAATTATGAACTGTTATGAAAGAAGGGATACATGTGTGCTGTACTTCAAGTACCATGATTTAATGACTTTCCTAACCATATTGTACTTGCAGTGGGGAGAACGAAATGATGGATAATTATGAGCTGTTATGAAAGAAGGGATACATGATTGTGTTGTGCTGTACATCAAGTACCATTATCTAAAGACTTTCCTAATCATATTGCACTGTGGTGAAGAAGACATGATCTATCATTGTTGTGTGAAAGAAGGATACATGTTGTAAACTGGTACACAAGATAAGTTATTTATCCAGAGTCATGCCTGAGGCGTGGTATGAAAACAATGTAGCTGTTTATCAAACTGCAGTAAGTGCCGTAAATAAAAAACAGTGACATCTTGAATAAGACTGTTCATGGAGTGTGTGCAAGAAACTCAATCCGGAGTATATATCTACCGAACCGTTTAGCATGTTTGTACTTTTGGAGGTGGTTATAACTTATATTAAGAGAGTGTAAAATCTCTAGGATTTTGATGTCTTTAATTACAACTTTGCCGAGACCAAGGAGTTTTCCACCTCCAATCAGATCTCTTTATGACTGACCTTTGATCGATGTACCACCCAAATGAATGCTATAAATACTAAAGATTTTCTGAGAATCTGTAGCTTCAACTGTTTGGTAGATAGAGCAATATGTCCGAAGTACGGTTTATTAAAGTCTCCGCTCATTTTCGGTCTGAATTGTGCATCAAGCATGTGCTCATCCCACATTGACTTGTTCTTTTGGTTCATATTGCCCTTTATAACGAGATTGAGTTATTTGAGTTTGCCTGTTTCTATTATGGGTCTCGTTAAAACAGCCATTTTTGTGTAGGAACCGTGGATATTGGCATTTGTCAGTCTGAAAAAGCAAAAGCCCTTCGTCTGCAGAGTATATATGTAGGGGGATACTGATAAACAAGCTGCTGTATCTTCCAACTAGCTTCATGACGACAAGGCATCGTCAGAAATTTCGAAATGTCTTTAGTCTATATCAGTCTATATCAGTCTATATCAGCCTATGACGACTATCAACACCCGCAGTTTCTCATATGACATCTCCTTGGGTTATTAACCTTGTTAAAAATACCGCAAATTGCGTTTACCGCTCATTCAATTTTCATACGCGAGTAACGTGGTAACATCGGGATCGAACGAGCTGCGCCATGCCACACTGTCCTGCCCTCGTTTCTAGTTTTTGTAAATGGGAATTTCGAGCCATAGGTTGAACACAATTTTTATACACCTAACCAGGAGCAGTTGCGAAAAATGCAACTATAGACCCTCATATCCGCACCGGGCAAGCTTGAAAAATATGCCTGGCCACGGTGGAAATAGAACCTTCCAAAGGTCGAAGGTTCGATTCCCACCGTGGCCAGGCATATTTTTCAAGCTTGCAGAGTAACATTACAAGCATCATATTCACCTGAGTACATTACACCAACACATGATTACTAGATTACATCGATATAGAAGGAACTAGACTCAGTTCTGAAATATCACATACTCGAACCGACCTGACGGCGTAGCTCAGCAACCTCGTACCCAGGGCTAGTCGCGAATTGAAGGCGGCGACTATGTCGCCGCCTTCAATTCGCGACTAGCCCTGGGTACGAGGTTGGTAGCTCAGTTGGCAGAGCATTGGGCTAGTTTTCTAAAGGTCGTAGGTTCGATTCCCACCGTGGCCAGGCATATTTTTCAAGCTTGCCCGGTATACACTCAGAGTAACATCACAAGCAACTTTTTAACATCACAAGCAACTTTTAAACATCAAAAGCAACTTTTTAACATAGCAAGCAACTTTTTTTCTTCTTTTTTTATATCTTGGATATACACTCAGAGTAACATCACAAGCAACTTTTCAAATTACTCAAAATCAAAATTTCCTTTTGAATTTCCACTAAGGAATTAAAAGGCGAACCGATATTATTATTATTATACCGATATTATAGGTATAATTTTCCCGGTATACCAATACCGGAAAATTATCATACCGAACATTCCTAACTGGCATCACCCACTACATAATTATACACAAGTGCTGAGTTGGTTAGAGCGCCACATTGCGCTGCATCGGAATCACGGGCTACAGATTAGACTCCCACCAGAGGGCCTACAGTTGCATTTTTTGCAGCTGCTCCTGCGTGGTCAGGTCTAAAATTGCATATAATCTTCCGCTCGAACTTCCCATCAACAAAATCCCTTCAACTGTTCTATCGAGCGAGTTGCCCAAAAGTCTCGATATCTATCCAAACGGTGCCATACGTGTCGCAGAATGTTTGGTCATTAAAATTTCGGTACTTTTAAACTTTCTATCCAAATGCGTCAAAGGCATTAACGTTGAAAGGCATTATAGAAATTTGGCGTATTTTGTCCTATTGTGTTAAAAATAAAATTTTCAATATTTGTATAATGTAGAAATTTTTATGAAGTTCAAGGATTAACCAATATTGGCAACAAGCAAACAAGAAATGTAGTTGTAAACATTTTAATTTAAGATATTAGTGTGGGTGTAGTTCGAATACATAAGACGCGATGTATGTTTGCACGGGAAGCTTTTCTGATTTGCATTAATCCTCGGAGAACAAAGTAACATTAATGATTGGGATTTGCAAGCTGTACTCTCAACTAATATAATTGATTTTAATAACAAATGGATTAGAAAGGCTTTATTTGAGAAAACCATTAACACCGTTACCAATGACAACAGAATAAACGATTTTTAGTTAGACGCTGTTACAACCATAGACATTTCGTGTTTGTATAACGTATACAGTTATTATATTGCATGGTGGTGAATTTGGAGTGGATCAGTGTATTGCCTTACAGTATTCAAAGTTAGGGGAATCAAAGTAGCAAAATACCGTTAAATAACAGAGGGAATTGTTGCGAAAGAATTCTCGTAAAGCGAGTTGTTTCACCAGAGGGATTTAAATCCCTCGGGCGCTCCTAGCTTCGAGGATGGAATGAAATATAGTTTCTGAACAGGAACTGAAGGAACACTATATACCAACAGGGTTGATCAATTGTTACGATGATGGATGGTTTGTCAAGCCCTGTCCTGGATCAGGCTATATGTAACTCCTGTAAACATCTATTCACTGAGAAGGATAAAATTATTGACGATTTGAAAAGCAATCTTCAGACCCAGGAAAATCGAGTCCTAAAGCTTGAAAATGAAGTAGAGAACTTGGAGGAACAGATAGCAAACTTCGTGGCAGGTATATAACTTATCTTTATGATTGTTTTAACATTATATACATCATTACAATACATAGATTATGCAATACTAGTAACTTTAGTCCTTTATGAAACCGTGTTAACTATTCTGTCTATTGCATGTATTAACGCGAACATAATTGGGTTACACACAAATTTGTACAGAGATATAAGAATATATATACAAATGAAAGTTATTTGGCTTTAGCCTTTACTCATGATTTTGTCTTATTGAACACTGCATGCAATATCAGTCAACGATCTTGAAGGAATTTTTTTCGATCCGATGAATTATCTGCAAAACTGAATATATTGTCTTTGAAGGAGTTCTCGCATGCAGATGAAATCATCACAGTATTTCAAGTCACATCACGTTCGTTTATTATAGGAATTATTCATTAAACCGATAGTTTTCTCAATCTGTAATTGACATAAATAGCAGCTGCATGGCTCTAACAGTCATAGTAAACAAACTTCTCGAAGAACGTATTCAACTCTTAAGCAATCTCTTTTCTGAGAAAGGTTTACTTGTTGGTTACATGCGTGATCTATATACTGTTTTTCAATCACTTCGCATATTGCGTTTCTTCTGCTGCTCTCGGGGGATTGCGGCGTACTAATGTGCACCGTCTTTCGACAAGCTTTGTCAGAATTAGCGCTCTCATCACTACGAATATCTTTAACTGTGACCATTTTTTGAGGAGGATTAATGTTCTCTTGTGTACCGGATTTCAAACAGCCATGCTTACCAAAATTCTGCGGATGTAATTGATCGCTCTTAGCAGCACAATTTTTAATCCCTTTGCTGTTACCTTCCCGTTCGGCTTTGCGAGTCGATGCTTTTCTGAGGATCCGAAAACGTGCGTTCTCTCTTATTATTCTCTTCCATAAAGACATTGGACGCTTGTCAGATTGATTCTGCAAAACCTCTCCCATGAAATGTTGAGTGCTCTGATATACAGCTCAAGTTGAATCTCAATCTATGCACACAAAGAAATAAATGTGAAGTTGTTTGTTCTCTTCCAGTTTTATACATGAGCATACGCAATGTCCCACGTAATTTTAATTAGCACAATAAAACTATTAATCACCGCAGTCGCAATGGCGAGCCCACTTATTAAAATATTCACGATGTTTGAATATGCTTGTCAATATTTGAAAATACACGACATTTTACGAGGGTCTGAACTGTGGGGGGTTTTGCATGTCAGTAGAAATTTTTGTTGTTTATCAGTTGTCAGTTAAAATCCAAGCCTGTTGGTAAAACATTGGTTAATATGAAGTGTATATATAGGCCATCAGGCCTGACTCCACGACGGCGAAATTCTTCGCGAGAAATCATTGGCGTACGGGCTTAGAAATTTATGGGGGGGGGGGGGGGGGGGAGGCGGAGAACCACAAGGTCGGGGCACACTCATAGTAACATCACAAACATTCTAAGAACATTTTGTTTTGCGCGCTCATGTGCATTGGGAATTAAATGATGCGAACGATAAATTGGAATGGGTGATTTTATCAGAGGCGCTTGAAATTAATAAATACAGCGGTCTTGATTCTGATATAGTTTGTTTTGTTGAAATATTTACAAATATAAATGTGAAATGAATTGCCGCGTCATCCGACTCGTTCACTCTTCAGGTTAAAAAAGATTCCCAGCAATGCCAATGGGAAGAGATTCCGGTGTTATTGTGCACCGATTACTCTATTACATTTAGCCGATAAAGTGCACTTTGTCTTTGAGAATACGCATGCATGTGAACTTTCAGTGCCGCTTTTTCTAAAATATTCTTAAAATGTCATACAGCCAAAAATATTTCAATTGCGTATTTCAAAAAGGTGTTACCGGCAATCTCGTGAGAAAACAAAAGTGTAAACTTTAGTATTTCCAGTATTTCCTCCTTTGGAAACTCACTTTAAGTAAAGTCAAAATTGAAACCGGAATTGTTGCTTAATTGCTTAAAAGGAAAAATATAGAATAATTTAATTATATCTTTATTGCCTTAAAGTGTTATTGCCGCCTTAGTATGTCTATAGTGACGTACGTTTTATTGCATATGATCCAAGCAACATATGTCGTTTTAATGCTGTAGGATGGGAATTTCAGGGATGGGGGAGCGCGGGAAGCTTTACTGCCTCGCACAATTAAAAAAATTAAATTATTAAAAAATGCGAGCCGACTTGTAGCATGTCCTCATGATCTCCTCCGCAGAGGCTTCTTGACGTGCTTTTTCACTGTGCTTTACATTGAACTTTACATGGCGCTTAAGGGTAAAGACTAAAGGGTTTCGAGTTATTCAATTAAGATCTAGCACTTCTGGCAGAGACTTCTCCTCTGACTTCTCGATCGACTTCTGACAGAGGCTTCTCCCCTCCCCCCTTGACACCTTGTTCTCCGCCTGCGTCCCTTCCAACAACCACCGATTACCCTTACACGACATGTAAAGTTCATGTAAAGCGCAGCGAAAAAGCACAAGAAGCCTCTGCGGAGGAGAGAGTAGCATATCTATGTCATGCATATTTGGCACTTAACAAGAAAAATAGGAACACTATCTCATGCATATTTGTCTTTGAAGAGCTGTTGTAGTAATCGGTATTTATGGATGTCTTGTCGAAGAGGGAATTGTCAGGGTCAGCATGTTTAACTGTCCAGACATACAAATATGCACTTACACCCACGATAAATAATATGGAAGCGTCTCGTTTCGGTATTAAGGGAAATAGGTTTCAAAATGTCAAAAAATATCCAAGCGCTTCATAATTGCAGTTGAATATTTTAATATTTGTCCCATAAAAAGTATCTTGAACTAGACATAGGCTACAGTGCGTGTCGTGGAGCATGCGCAAAACAAGTATCAGGGCCTTTTTAAAGAATTCGTCCAGGTGGGGGGGTGATCTACAGAAAGGACCACACTATACCGTGTGTGGAGAGATGACAGATGGTGACAAGTGTGGGTGTCGTAAGTGAAATAGTAGGGGGTAATTTGCTCGTTTCCTTTGTCGTTGTCGGCATCGCTTCACGTCAGCAAAAGCGATGCCGAACAAATTCGCCACATGGAGAACGGGCTTAACTTCGATTGCGCACCGCAATAGTATATATAGTACAGTTTGTATAAATTCATGCGGCAATAATTGCAGATGTTGATGATATATGCGTCAAGAATATAGTATTTATTCAAATAATGTGAGCAATAATAATATAATCTTGTCAAAAACTAGGAACCACAATAAACTCTTACCGTCAGCAAGATACTCATTAAGATAATATTTTCCTCAATGAAAATTTATATTAATATACAAGAATGTCTAGACGTTGAAGGATTAGTGTCAGGCTTTTGTTGCTTTGTGAAAAAGCAGGGATGTTTTCAGGACTAGCTTCTTTGTGGTCGTTAGGCCGTTAACCAATTGCAACCTCGCAAGCCAGGGCAACTACGTAGCAAAGACGTATCGCCGTAAGACCCTGGCTTGCGAGGTTGCCGTTAAACGGGCCCAAAAACTCAATCTTGAAATGAGTTTTGAAACTGGATCACGTTATTGAAATTTTAAGTGCAGTAAATTGAAGATGTTGGGGGTTAAATTTGTGGCATGGAAATATATATTTTTTCCAAAACTCTGCAAAGTAAGAAAAACAAACGCACTGCATGGAATTCGTTTCACCATACAAGAAAAATCATGAATAAGAACGTGGACACACATGTTCATTTAAATATTTAAAAGGCATGTAAAACTAGAGGGCAGAGCGTTTTTTAAGAATTCGTCTGGGGGAAGGGCACTACAAAACACTAATACTATATTGAGTGTGAAGAGATGACAGATGGTTATTGGTGACAAAACGTTTGGTGTGGTATCGGGGGGGGGGGGTCTGGGGGGAAGATTTTTGTATTTTTTCACCGCTAGACTGTAGTATTTCGTGCGTTTTCTGAAACAGATTTTTGGACATACAGCATGGCATTATACTGTAGATAGAGTGAATCGTCTGTTAAGTACCGATACGTAAATACCACAACTCGGTCACGAACTTATTTAACCTATAGCCTTCCAACAACGCTACGGGGTCAAGGTAAGTATACAACACAATCTCAAGCATTTTTAACTGAAAGTCCTTGAATCATTCGAAGATAAAAGACATGACATAAGATTCACAAAGCAAATTTCAGTTGCCAGAATATCAAACCTTCCTTCTAAATTCCAATTTTCTTCCAATGTTTTGCTTATATTTTAGAGAAATTGGACCAGTGGGGACCACCATGGGGGGCTGCAGGGGGCAGTTATATAGACAAGTTAAAAGGCCCTGCTGGAGGGGGTAACCAGTGGGGGTAACAGATGCCTCCTACCCCCTGCTGTACAGGGAAACTCAATCGTCGCAAAAACGGCCCAAGCAAAAAATTCTGGAAGAAAAAAACCCTGAAAGTGATCAAGAAGTAAAAATATAATAATAAAAAACTTTGTTTGGTATAATTCTACTGTAAATGAGTTTAAAGATAATAGTATTTATCGGATTAGAGTTTTCGTTTTCATTCCTTCAAATATCGTTGCAATCCTTCACGTATATGTATTGCATAGTTTGTTTGTGATGTTACTCTGAGTGTATATCCACACCGGGCAAGCTTGAAAAATATGCCTGGCCACGGTGGGAATCGAACCTACAACCTTTGGAATACTAGCTCAATGCTCTGCAACTGAGCCAGGCATATTTTTCAAGCTTGCTCGGTGTGGATATACACGCAGAGTAACATCACAAACAATCATATTCACCTGAGTACACAACACCAACACAGAAAATATTGCATAGTTGTAACTCGTTTACAGTAGAAATATACCAAACAATGTGTTTTAGTGTTATTTTTACTTCTTTTCCACTTTAGGGAAGCCTCGCATATCGATTTTGTCCATGAGAAACGTCATATGTTCGTTTCTCTGGAGACCCCCCCCCCCACCCACCCACCCTTAGAAACGTCACACATAGTTATCGATATTTTGTTCTTACAGTACACTATGAGTACACATAAGGTAATTTTCTACTATTTTTTTCGGTCGGCTATTCAGCGATGCTTCCGCGAGGAATATGTCATCTTCTGCTGACATACTCTTTTTTTATTAATATATATATATATATATATATATATATATATATATATATATATATATATATATATATATATATATATATATATATATATATATATATATATGAACTTCAAAATTTCTAACGTCTCTCAAAACAACTTTTTTTTATGAAATATTGATAATTTTAGCGCGTTTTTCTTGAAATTTGAGTGTTTTCAATGCAAGGAAGGCGTAATAATATAAATGTATAGGTATAGAGCAGGTATGGTATTACGAATATATAGACTGCTGTTTGTATCAAATTGTTTTCATTTTTACGTTCTGAAAAGATAAAAACTATCGAATTTTTCCATGATGTTTACAGAGAAACGTCACAGCTGCCAACCCCCCCCCCCCCCCCCCCCCCCCCC